AAAAGAATTCTTTGGTTTAGGCAGTAAACACACCCTAGATCAAGTATCCAGAAGGCAGCCACTACCTAAGTCAAATCTCCGACTGCAAAAGAAAGAGCAGAAGTATGCTTGAATTCTCTGACCTTTGGTCAGGGTAAAGTGGATCTACCTCTATGGGCCATCTTAATGTTCAAAACACCAAGTAACCACACCTAGGTCAGGGTGTGAAGCCACAATTGTTGTTAACAACTTTGAGCAAGCATTATTATTAAGTCTCCAAACCTTAGAAGAAAAAGTTTCTAAGCCTAATGTACCCTGCAAACCTTATGTTTTTCAAACTATTCTAAACTTGTGACCCCATGAAATATGCCCACCCCTTTGCCTTGATAAACTCCTGAACCTGTGGTATATGATTGCCATTTTGCCTTATGAAAATGTGTCTTCCCAGATATGATGACCCCCCTTCCATATGATGTATTCTCACAGTTATCTACCCCACAGGTAGTCTTGAGCCCTGAGTCCCCCACTTTACTGTAGAGGTGCTAATAGTCAATTATGTCAATAGTGTTTTCTATCAACCCCATCCCTTCCCCATAAAAGGAACCTCAATAGTCAGCGATGGGCTGCTTTCTAAAACCCTGACATTGGGAGAGGAAGCCAGCTGAATAAGTATGTGTATTTGTTCCATATCCTTATTTTGATTATTCACTGATCATTTGATGTGCATGACAATTTGAATGTGGAAGTGTCTCTGTAGCAGGATATAGAGTTCTTTGGTAGATGCCCAGGAGTGATATATTTGAGTCATACAGTATTTCTAATTTTAGTCTTTTTAGAAACCTCTGACTTGATTTTTAAATTTTAATTTAATATTTTTTATACAGGCTTTCACTATCTGCTTCTCTGACTGCCCTGGAACTCACTATATAGAACCAGCTTGATCTAAGACTCACAAAGATCCACCTGTCACAGCCTCTCTGAGTATTGGTATGAAAGACATGTGACATTCACAATTTTGTAAATATTTCATTAAGCATTTTTATATTTATGTTCATCATGGTGTCCCAACTCTAGACACAGTGGGACCTGGGAGAATGGAACCTAACAACAAAACAGACTAAAGTCTCATTTGATAGCCAGCTTTATTTAGAGCATCAGACAGCTTATACCCTGAGGGCTAAGCAGCCCCTCACTGACTTTTGATGTCCCATTCATAGGGAAGGGTTTCGGTTGATAGAAAACAGTTGTTGGGACAATTGGCTCTGAGTACCTGTACAGAAAAGTGGGGGGCTCAGGGCTCAAGGCAGCCTGTGGGGTTGATAAGTGTGAGAATATATCATGTGGACGGGGGCTCATCATGGTGTCTGGGAAGACACAGTTTCACAAAGCAAAAGTGAAATGAGCCAAGTTAACATGAACAAAATTCCCATGATCCAAGCTGTATACAATCACAGGAACAGGGCGTGCCTGGAGACATTATCTAAACGACAGTATTGAGATACTGTGTTATTTGAGTAAACCCATTCCTTTTTATTACACCTGACAGGGGCACAAAAGCACATTCCAAGGACAAACCCAAGTTTGGAAGGAGCAGAGGTCACAAGTTTCTTGTCTTGTTTTCTTGGAGTTTTCTCCCAAGCACTGGGAATTCCCTCACAGAACTTGGACCTGTTCACACATGGAAACTAACCTGTGATTTTCTTTGTTGTTGTTTCAGTGGTAGTTTTAATGAAAAGGCCCCCAGAGACTCATATTTGAATTCTTAGTCCTCAGAAGGTAGAACTGTTTGGGATGGATTCAGAGGTGTGGCCTTATTGGAAGAAGAGATTTGTCACTGGGGGAGGGCTTTGAGGTTCCAGAAGAGTCCTGGCATTCCTGTGTGTTCTCTGCCTCTGTTTGCAGTTTTACATGTGAGCTCTCAGGTGCTGCTCCAGGTGTCTGCTGCCTGCAGCTCCATCTGCCATTATGGACTGTATTGCTTTGGGACCATTGTCCAATGAGCCCATCCTTTGACGAGTTTCCTTGGTCATGCTGTTTTACCACAGCGACATGAAGTAGCTGAAACAGAGTGATACGTGCTAGTTAGGGTTCTCCAGAGAAGAATGGATAGACTTGATATTAAAAGGGGATTCATTAAACTGATCTACATGATGCAGTCCTATAGGCCAACAATGGTTATCTCACACCATAAAGGTCAAGAATCCAGTAGATTTTAGTCTGTGAAGTTGGATGTTGCTGCAGTCTGGCCTGGTGCTGAAGTCCCAGGTTGGTGGAAAGTTGTAACTGTGGCACAGGTGTTTGAGGTTTCTGTGCTTATAAACCCCCTTCTGCCCTGCTCAGGGGCCAAGAGGATCAAGGTAGCCTGATCGATCAGCGACCCCACTCATGTGCTGATTTACTAACAACTGTGCTGTTTCACTGCCCATAGGCATTGTCTCTCTCCTCCTCTTGGTGCACAATGCACACAGAGTCCATTCAATAGGACATTGAGAGGAGAGCATGAATTATCATTGGCATCCATTTCTGCTCTGCTCCTTGACTGTGGGTGCAGTGTGACAGCCACCTTGAACCCTGATGCCATCCCGGACTCCTGTTTCTGTGACTTTTGCACTGATAGACACCACTTGGCACTGTGACAAAACAACCCTTCTCCCTCCAGCTGTTTTTGTCAGGTGTCTCAGCAGAGCAACAGGAAAAGTGACAAAGGCAGCAGTGTCCACCTGGGGTATCAGAGAACCTATGTCACTCCTAGTTTGGAGATGCTCTATTAGAGACCTGGTGTCCAGACTTAATGAATATTTTTTGTTTTGCTGTTTTTAATGCTGAGAACCCTACTTTGAATTAAATACACAATATAAAATGGCAGACAAATGTCAAGGATCATTTCAGAAACAGTAGGAAATTCTCTCTTTATTGCCAAGAAAAGACTCATTAAAAGAAACTTTATCTTATTTATTTTTATTTTATAGTGAGTGTTTTGACTGCAAGTATGTCAGTGTACCACATGTGTATGAAGAGATCACAGAAGACAGAAGAATTTATTAAATTTCTTGGAACTGGAGTCACAGGGGGTTGTGAGCTGCCATACAGGTGCTGGATTTCAATCTGGGTCCTTTGGAAGAACAGCCAGTGCCCTTAACTGCTGAGCCGTCTCTCCAAACCCAAAATAGCAATTCTAACATGATGCAATCCAAAGACAAACTAATTTGATAATTACATGCTGAAGGACGACAGCAGGAACACATTAAAAATCTGTTTTCTAGTACTAAGACATGTTTCTGTAAGAACAGAAAGGTTGTGTACAATAAAAACTGCAATCCATATCATACCACTGTGTCTCATATGACATGCGTGTTTCAGAGTGTTGACTGGTGTAGTCTAGTGTGAAGGCCTCCTCTGCAAAGTGTGCATGTGTGCTCAGAACAAGGCTGCAGTGACATCAGGAGACAGCCCCGGGAAGCGAGGCCACAAGCAAGGATGTGTTATGCAGCCAATTTTGAATTAGTTTTTGGTCATTGTGCTTTCAGAAACATTTCGGTGTTACCAAGATCTTCACAAGCCTTGCACTGAGTTGTGTGACCTGTATTATTGCAATCCACAGAGAAATGGGACCCATCAGTAGAAAACACCTAGATCTTCCTCCAAGCCCCTGTCTTCATTCGTGATGCTTTGCTACTGGTGCCTGGGGAAGTCATGGCTGGTGCCACCAATATCTTCCACATCCCTTCTTGTGTTAACATTTACACTTATCTAGGACTTTTCTATCTTAAAAATATTTAAATCCAAGAAGCAATAAAAAAGATATTCTGAGCCCAAACTCCCATCCCCACCACAGCCTGAATCCCCATCTTTCTGTTCAGTCACCTTCTGGGACGGTCTGGCTAGATTTGCAGCTTCTACTTCCTTCCATTTGTCAGACTTCAGGCCTCTCCAGACTCCCTGCCCTCTGTGTTTTCATCAGACTGGGCTGCTAGGGCCAGCACACCCTAGCCTGGAGTGGCAAAGCCTTTAACTGTCTCACACATCCGCTCAATGCATGTTGAGGATACACAGGGTCCCAGACCTTCTCACCCCTGTCCCAGTCAGCCCTCTTCACTCCTGCGCTAGGATCCAGTCTCTTGCCCCACTCCAGGCTGAACTTTTCATATCCTTCAGCAAATGCTGCCTTCAGTGGCAGCTTAGAGCCCACGTTTCCTCCAGGCCTCTCTGGAGTGTGCAGGTCGGCAGTCTTCTTTCTCCTGAGTCCACTCCAGCACCATGAAGCAGCCCTGGTGATTCTGTGCATGTGAGTCACCTTTCAGAGTCTCCCTCCCCCAATCCTCTAAGGTCCTTTCTTTATTCTACTTAGGCTTAAGGTGCCATGTCACCTGCCCATAAGCTCTTCTGTCCTTCCCATAATTAGGCTGGGAGCCCCTGCTCTCTTGCTCCAGCAACACCCATTTACTGTTTTATCTCCTGTGTCCCCATATCTGAGTCCCTCAGTTGTACATCCCCCGAAAGCATGATTGGTGTCTAGCTCATGTTCCTCAAAACTGGGAGTTTGTAGACACAGTGTTCCCAGATGAGAAAACAGAATTCAGGAGCAAGAAAAAGTCAAGTTAAATTCTGACGGGTGGTCCCCAAGTGAGCAGGGACCATCCCGAGAGGATCATTTGTGAGCCCCCTTTCTTCTCTCATCCAATGTGGGTTTTGTGTATACTGAAGTTATCCTAGGGATGGAGCAAAGCTCAGCTGTGTCTGGGGTGAAGTGCAGGAGGAACCCAGGTAGGGAGCCACTGTGTAAGGTGCATTTCTGACCAGAGTTCTAGGGACTGTGAGCTCTGTGGGACTGACTTACTTATGTTGGGGGAGGGAGAAGAAAGAGGGGACTGGGAGTGTCCGAGGTCCTTGTGTGTGTGTGTGTGTGTGTGTGTGTGTGTAGTGGGGTTTGCATTATTCCAATCCGGGATTGATAGGTGAAAATGAAAACGAAAGAGAAGTTAACTCAAATAAAACTCCGTGCAGCTTTGGGTGACCTGGCAGTGGTGGTTTCCCAGGCCTGCCAGAATGGCAGCGCCTGGGCCATTCCCGCTGCTCGTGGAGGGGTCTTGGGGCCCCGACCCCCCGAAGACCTTGATCAACAAGTTGCAAATGTACTTCCAGAGTCAGAAGAAGTCTGGCGGAGGGGAGTGCGAGGTCATCCAGCAGCCTGGGAGCCCGGCAAGCTTCTTGGTGCTCTTCTCTCCGGAGGACGGTGAGGGCACGAAGGCCGAGGAGGGGTTGGGGGCCAAGGTGCCAGGTCCAGAATGCAGCTGCAGCGCAAGGAGATCCTGGGTGGCAGAATCATACCGGAGTGGTGGTTCTCCTTGCTCTTACAGCTCCTGGCGCTGTGAAGCTTCCAGTGCTTCCTTCCTCCCTCCCTCCCTCCCTCCCTTCCTTCCCTCCTCTCCCTCTCCCTCTCTCTCTTTCTTTCTTCCTCTCTCTCTCTTTCTTCCTCTCCCTCTCTTCTTTCTTTCTTTCTTTCTTTCTTTCTTTCTTTCTTTCTTTCTTTCTTTCCTTCTTTCTCTCTCCCTCACTACCTCTTCTTTCTTCCTTTCCTCCCTCCCACTCTCCTTTCTCTCTCCCCTCCCTCTTTCTTCTTTCTCCTTCCTTCCTTCCTTCCTTCCTTCCTTCCTTCCTTCCTCCCTCCCTCCCTCCCTCCTTTCCTTTCCTGATTTTATTATTTAAGTGGTGCAGTTAAAGAATTAAGAATCTTGAGGAGTTGTGGGTCAGCTAGTACCGCAGGGTTCTAGCTGTCATGGGGGAGGGAGGGGTGTCTTTGGGAGGTGAGCTTGAGGAGGGAAAAGCCCTTTAACTCTTATACCACAGCCTGGACAAAGTTCCTGCTTTGTCCCTCCGCTCCAAGTCTGAAGTGACTGTCAGCTTTGAACTGAGGTGGGAGTTTCTGTGGAGTGTTCCCTCTTTGCAGAAAGGCACAGGAATAGTTGAGCAGTTGAAAATTCCCCACTTCTGTCCAGAGTCTGCAAGGGAGGCCCAGCCTTGTCTGCTTGCTTAGGTGGGTGATTGAAAGTCCCAGACCTGTGGCTTCTGGACGGCCACCATTAGTTGCTCCCTGAGATTTTGTAGGCCAGGGTCATCCTCAGAATGCAGACAATTCCTCCTTCTTGTCCTTGAATTTGTGAAACTTTTGGGGCAGATGAAGGGCAAGGGGGCTGAGGAAGCCAGGCTGTAGACAAGATAACAGCCCAACAAGGAGCCAAGAAGAAAAACATGAAAGAAAGAGACAGGTGTAGAGGGTATTGACACAGGTTTTCAGAAAGCCTGGTCAGGAGGCAGGAGAGGCCTGCAGGGAGCTGAATCCCTCTGGAAAGCAAGAACCTTGTTGTCCTAGGTTTGATTTCACCAGGGCGTGCTCCACAGACAGCTGACAGCAGGACCTGTTTTCTCATTTTCTCTGTTCCTAGGGCAGTGGTTCTCAACCTTCCTACTGCTACAACCCTGTAATACATGCTGTGGTGCCCCCATCATAAAATTATTTTCGTTGCTACTTCATAGCTATAATTCTGATACTGCTATGAAGTGTAATATAAATATCTCTGTTTCTGATGGTCTTAGGCTACCTCTGAGAAAGGACCTTTGACCCTCATAGGGGTCATGACCCACAGGTTGAGAACCACCTCAGAGGGTTAAAGGATTCCCAGTTTGATCCCAGCTGTCACTCCCCCAGTAGACACAACCCTTATGGAGTGTGTTCTTCTCTTGAGCTGTCTCTAAATGCTGGTCACATGTTAGGGGTAGAGACTACTGCATCCTGGACACAGGGAGGGTGGGGTAACTAGATCCAGCCCAGCTCTATTCTAGACACTTTAGTACAGAGAATGTGGGCGAGTGGGGAAGCATTTGCCACCAGCCCTCTGAAGTGACTGGGATGTGCTGAAGTCTGAAAAATCTCTGTTGTTTACTGAGAGCCTCAAACCAGCAAAAGGGGAGATCTATAAGATACTGGTAGCAGTCGGGTGGTGGTGGCACACACCTTTAATCCCAGCACTTGGAAGGCAAAGGTAGGCAGATCTCTGTGAGTTCGAGGCCAGCCTGGTCTACAAGAGTTAGCTCCAGGACAACAGGCTCCAAAGCTACAGAGAAATCCCATCTTGAAAAAGAAAAAAAAAAAAAGAAAGAAAGGGAAAAAAAGGAAAAGAAAAAATAGTGACATACACAGCATGGGAAAATAATGGTTGTGACAACACAATCCCAGCTGTAGCCTTTGCAGCAGGCCCTGGACAGGTGAGGTGAAGGCTGGGCTCACACCCCAGCTCAGCTTTCTCCCTCTGGGGCTCCCAGTCCACAGTACCCCTCTCCCAGGTGGCTCAGGTGATCCCTCTCATTTCACTCCCAACACAGATGACTCAGAACATTAAAATTTAACATTGTTGCAGGTTGGGAGGACTAGAACTTCCATTCACTTCCAGTTTCCTATCTGGGATCCCACTTCCTCAGCAGCAAGTCAACTGAAATTTCCCAGCAAATTTGCCCTGCAGCTTAGGGCAATAGCTTTCCTTTCCTCTAGAGGCCCCACCCGCTGTCCCAGAAGTACCCTGAGCAGGCATGAATTCATATAAATCTACAATAGCTCGACAGTACTACTGAGTCTAGCAGTCTAGTAGGCTCAATAGAAATTAGTGTATACCGGTACCAACAGGGAGGTCTCACCTTCGTTGGTCAACTGGATTCATGTAGTGTTGAATATGTAAGTCTTTTTTTCCTTAGGACATTGAACTATACTCTCAGACCCAAACTCAAATCACTGTAACCCTATTTCAGATGGGCACACTTTAGTATACTTTCTAATCCTAAATGGGATTCTATTTATTTAGTGAAGGCCTAGGTATTACTGAAGTGAGGGAACTCGTCTTCTTTAAAAAAAAAAAAGATCTAACAGGATAGTCATGGGGCACGCCTTTAATCCCAGTACTCGGGAAGCAGAGGGAGGCAGATCTCTGTGGGTTTAAAGTCAGCCTGGTCTACAGAACAAATGCCAGGACAGTTAGACTGTTGCACAAAGAAACCTTGTCTGTAAAAACCACACACATATGCAAAAGATTTATTTGTATTGTATGTGCATGGGTGTTTGGTCTTTATATGTCTGTATACCACATGCATGCAGTGACTACAGAGGTCATGAGAGGGCATCAAATCCCCTGGAACTGGACTACAAATGTCTTAGATGTCAATGTGGGAGCTGGTAACAGAATCGGGCTCTTCTAGAAGAGCAGCCAGTGTTCTTAACCATGGAGTCATCTCTGTGACCCTAGAACCCATCTACTTAAGTAAAACTGAACATAGCTGACTTGAGGTGGGCACAAGGGAGAGACTAGACGTCAGAATTTTGCCTCCTCCTCTCAGATTCACTTTCTGGATGGGAATCACATACTGTTATTGCCACCGTGGCTCTCTGGAAATACTTGTGCCCGTACACATTGTGTATATCCAAGAAGAGACGGCCATGCTTGGATGTCTTGGATGGACTTCATCAAAGTCCATGAAAAAGGAATGTAACACAGAGGTGCAGGACATTCAGTAACCATCTTCAGACTGTTCACACAGAGGTCACCCTGAGGTCACCCAGTCCTCAGTCCCCTCTTCAGCCGGTACAGCTTCTCTGGAAACTCCTGACTACTCATAGAGTAGAGTTAGAGTCCCATGTTCCTTCTCAGATGGATTCTAATGCCTGTATCTGGGTGGACATCTAAGTGAAGTCGCTAGGCCTGCCGTCTTCATGTTTGAAGTGGGAGAGCCATGTTTCCCTTTGTGACAAGCTCTGAGTTCATCAGACTAGCTGTCCATCAGAGAACAAGGGGACCTAATGTCTTGCAGTAGCTGTGAACACCAGGTCTCTGGTATCTTTCTCCTTGACCTGTTTGCACTGCCCTCTAGCTGGCCACACCCCTCCTGTTCCTTTTGGTTCTCTAGGATGGCCACCCTCTTCCTGTTTCTTTTCTTTCTCTATGCTGACCACGTCCCTTCCTATTCCTATGATGGCCATTCTGATTCTTGTTCCTTTCCTGTTCTCTATGATGGCCAAGCCCCTCCCTGTTCCTTTCCTGTTCTCTATTATAGCCACACCCCTCCCAGTTCCTTTCTGCTTCTCCATGGTCTGAGCAACACTGATTTTCCTCTTCTCTCTCTGGCTGCAGCTTCTGATATCACAGTTCACATTTTCATAGCTCTTCATGTCGCTGACAGCGCTCCTAGAAAATACTTTCAGTGGGGAACCTCTGCTCCAGAAGTGTTTATTCCTTTATAGCCACTCAGCTGGTCTGTGGATAAATTGCAAATCAAATGGCAAATCTTTGGATTCTGTTGATATTCACTAAGTTAGCTGTCTGGTGCTCTAATTCTGTTTTTGCAAAATCTTTTCTATTTCTTTCTTTCTTTTTTCCTGCTTGCTTTACTACCATTTATGGGTTGTTTATCACTGCAGGCTAATGATTGGACTGATGGTCATTCTGATAATCATCAACTGGGTCATCTCCCCACAGCATGGGTCTCACCCCATGTACCCAATTGTCCCTGTAATTATAAATATTCCTACCTTCAGTGCCTACTGAGTCCAGTCCAGTACAGGTTCTGTGCTACTACACTCTATGGTTCTTCAATGCAATGCACTGACTGGCTCAAAACAATTCCACTGACCTCTGAGACTGTGTAAGTAGGATTTGTGTAGCAGGATGCTGACGGGATTCACCAGAGTTCCCTTGTGTGATAACATACCTGGGATAATCACCTTGAATAGAGGAAGGGTTTATCTGGACTCTACAATTTTGGAGTTTTTGGTCTATAGTCAGTTGGTCTGCTGCTTTTGTGCAATGGCACAAGGTAGTACACCCTATTGGGAACTCTTGGCTATGTAGTGATACAGAAAGGAGAAAAGGGCTGGAGTCCCAGGATCTCCTCCTTCTCTGGGGAAATCTGACTTCCTCTGGGCCTCACTTCTTAAAGCTTCCAGGACCTTCCATTAGACCATGAACTGGCAACCATGTTTGAAATCTCAAGGCCCTTGGGGAAACACTCAGATAACTAAGCCAAAGCAATGAATTTTAAAAAGTAATCTGGGCATGGCAGAGCATGCTTTGACCCCAGCACTTGAGAGACAGAGGCAGACAGGTGTCTGTGAGTTTGAGTCCAGCCTGGTCTACAAAGGAAGTTCTAGGCCAACCAGGGCTACATAGTAACCTTGTCTCAACAATGCAACAAGAGCAAATAAACAACACCACAGTAAGTTTAGGGGCAGGGGAATGGCTCACTGGGTTAGATAGTTTGTTATGTGAGTGTGAGGGCCAGAATTTGAATCTTCAGCCCCTTGTAAACAGCTGGGCATGGCTCAATGTAGTGTAGAGGGAAGAAATGGTCAGATCACAGCAAGCCTAGGCAACAGACAAACTTCAGGTTCAGTGAGAGACCCCATCTCCAGGCCCAAAGACAGAGAGCAATGCAGGGACATACTCAGTGTCCTGCTGTGGCCTCCACGTGACCAGAGGTGTGCACTCCTCCATATGCCCACACGCCTACAACATGAATAATGCACACAAAGCGACATTCACATCCCTGTACTGAGTTCTTCTTCTTTTTCAAGGGCTTGGTGCTTAGGAAGAAGGGCTGATCTGCTGGCTCATAATGTTGAAGTCTGTGGAAATCATGGACTAATTATATAAGTAAAGATTGCTTGCAATTTGGCTTAAAATATTTTTTCTACATTTCAGTTCGGCAGAATGTTCTGGAGAAAGGGAATCATGAGTTAGTGTGGCCAGGAACAGGGACATTCAAGTTAACTGTCCGGTTGCCCGAAGACCCAGATGAAGCCTCAGTCTCTAAGGAGGCAGTTCCAGAAAAGGTAAGGACACGAGGCCTTATTCCAAGGTGCATGGAATTCTCTGTGATGAGTATGGTGGAGATCAGCTGGGTGAGGTGGTGCAAACCTTTAATCCCAGCACTCGAGAGGGAGAGGTAGGAGAATATTTATGAGTTCAAGGCTAACCTGATCTACATAGTGAGTCCAGACCAGCCAAGGCAACATACTGAGACTGTGTCTCAAAAATAAAAATGGTAGATGAGGGCCTAAGTCACACCAGCCTGAGAATGGCAGCTTGGGACTCTGGAGGGAACAAGGACTGTAAACCACGGAGAAGCAGTCATTTTTTTGGTCACTTTTGGAAGAGTCCAGATTTCAGGGTGAGATAGTAATTAATTTGGGATTTCAAAGTTCGTATTCATTGCTCTTGGCATTTTTATAACCAGAAGTCTGCCATTCTGTTTCCATCTTCTTGAGGCCAGCAGTGTACACCGTGCATGCTGTTCCTTCAGCTGTGAAGAAGATTGTCAGGGACCTCTTGTGCACCCGTGTTCATACAGTAAAAATGAACTAAGTGCCAAGTGAGGCAAATCATGGGTAAAGCTGTCTCACGGGAATCTCCTGTGTGTGTCTCATTTCATCAGTGATTGTTGTGACCAGCAAAAAGACACACTGTGACATGTAGCTTCTGATCCATTCACTAACCCAGTAACCAAATGTTTCATTATCATTTCAATTAATTTACATCTCCAGTCTGGCCCAGGACATATTTTATTTATATATGAAATTATTCATAGTCACCGGGCAGTGGAGGCACATGCCTTTAATTCCAGCACTGGAGAGACAGAGGCAGTTGGATCTTTTTGAGCTCTAGGCCAGCCTCATCTACAGAGTGAATTCCAGGACAACCAAAACAAATTACACAGAGAAACCCTGCCTTGAAAAAAACAAACAAAACCAATCAACTAAACTGACAAAAATCAACCAAACAAACAAACAAAAAGAAATGATTCGTGTATTAATGCTGTCTTGCTGTTTTGGTTTTAGGAATCCAAGACTAAAAAAGATGCTGTAGAAAAAGGTAAGTTTCAGCTAAGGTGGTCCTGATGTTCACCAGGCAGTTTGTGTTTATTAGACAAGAAGCTTGTGTTGTAGGAGGCTGCTCATTCATTCCTGGCTACTTACTCTGAAATAATCACTCAGAAACCATATTATTTGCAATACTGTTTGGCCAATAGCTTAAACATATTTCTAGCTAGTTGTTATACACTAAACTAACCCTTCTATATTAATTTGTGTATCACCATGTGGCTGTGACTTATTGGATAAAGTTCTGGTGTGTCTGTCTCTGGCAGAGGCTTCATGGCTTCTCCTGACTCTGCCTTCTTCCCCCCAGCATTCAGTTTAGTTTTCCCCACCTAACTCTGTTCTTCTCTGCTATAGGCCCAAAGCAGTTTCTTTATTCATTAACCAATAAAAGCAACACAGACAGAATGACTTCCACACCAAGTTTGAGAGATCTTCCTCTAGACTCATACCAGGTAGTCTCTGCTCAGCTTGGAGCCTCCTGCAGTTGCATCATCTTTCCAGTTTCAGCCAGATGTGTCTGAAGCATTCCCTGAGGGTGCCCATTCAGTTCTTCGGGCTCCACTCAGAGAAACAGGACCAGGTTTCTTTGGTGCTATGAGATGGCTGCAGCTGAGGAGAGGAAAAGAAGACTTGAGAGATGATTATGTATACTTGTGCTTTGGTGGGCAGTAAAAGCAAGGACAAAGCTTCTAGTGGATGCTTGCTGTGTGCATCTCTGGGTGGCAGTGCTCTATGAGCACTGAGTATATCTTAGATGGACCCTACCTTCTGATCACAAGCTCTTCCTTCCTCATCTGCAACAGGAAACAGCCAACACTGGGGCTGGGGTGGGGCCTCCTGATTCCTGGTGGTTGGGCAGGGCCATTTCCAGCCCCAGACTTAAATGAATGAGCAGCTAATAATACCCGTGTAAAGGGCACCAAATGAAGAACCATACTGAATAAGGTGAGCAAGAACAACTTGGAGATGTAGACACCCAAATCTTAGGATTTTTTTTCCCTGCACAACTCTGTCTTCTGGTCTGGAGATGGGGTCTCTCACTGCACCTAAGTTTGCCCCTTTGGCTATGCTTGCTGGCCAGGGAGCTCTTAGAATCTGCCTATTTCTACTCTCCACACTGGGCACAGGTAACCATGCCCTGTTCTTTACAAGGAGGCTGGAGATTCAAACTCCAGCCCTCACACTTACACAGCAAGCTATCTAACCCAGCAAGCCACTCCTCACTGATGCTGTTACAGTGTAATCTTTCAACTCTTACTTTGTTCAGCACGAGTATGTACACAGCTTCCTATACCTTTGCTCCTCCGGGGAGGCCAACAGTAGTTCTCTAATGCAGTGGACACCCAATGAGCTTCAGCTGTCTGCCATGTGCCCGCAGCACAGAGATGAAGACTCTACCCTGCCTGTAGAAGTTTGGTTCCGTAATCACAGTCAAGTACTAGAGAGACACATATGAGGGAGGATGCCCCTTCCTCAGAAAGAGCAGAAAAAGTAATAAAATTGAATTAGTAACAACAATAACAACAACAACAAAATAAAAGAAACCAATTCTACTTTTGTTTTTTAATTCACTAACAACAAGAGCAACAAAAGCCCACAGTATTATATTTTAGGGTTTTTTGTTTTGTTTATTAATTCCCTCTGTAGACCAGGCTAGCCTTGAACTCACGGAGATCTGCTTGCCTTGGCCTCCAAAGTGCTAGGACTAAAGGTGTCCACCACCATGCCTGCCTACATTTTAATTTTTAATTCACTAAAGCAAAAGCTCCACTACCTGAGATTTCCTTTTAGCAGAGTTAGCCAACATACGAGAAAGGGTTAGAGTTATCTCAGAATAATGTACTTAATAAAACCATGATTTAATACCTTACACCTTTCATTGTCATTTCCAATTTATCAGATGATTTGTGAAGACGGACGCTAAAAAGAAATCCTACAATAGCTCAGCACTGAGTATAATAAAGGGTTATTTATTTAGGGGTATACTCACAGATCATAGTCCTCTGCTTCAACGGGGAACAGCAACTGAATCACACAACCAGAAGAGAAAGGGACTGTTTGTTTTACATTGTCATATACAGTATAAGAGGCCACGCCCAAGTGGGCGGGAAACTTAAAGGGTACTGGCACTAGGAAGTCCTACAACACCTCCTCCTTGTGTTTAAATAAGAAAGTTCTAAATCTAATACAAAATTATATACAATAAGAACAAATATCAAGTATAAAAATTAGTATTACAATCAGTATAAACAATATCAAGCAAGAAATATGTGATAAATGTATCAGTAATTATCCTATCCTAAGGAGTTTAAGTCTTACATTATAAATAAATTGGCCAAGTCAGGAGAGGAAAGTAACTACAGCTATTTAGTCTTCAACCCCATTGAAGACCAGAGAAGAGAAATACTATTACTTGAGTAAGCAGGAAGTGCAATCAAGCAACTTCCAAAATGTGCAACAAACTGGCTACCTGGGCAATCATCCAAAGTCTCATTTACAACATTGGAGCAACCAGCTTTGGATAAGGCCTAGAGTAACTGACAGACCAGTTTCAGAGGTAGGAAATTTTTCAAAACCATCTTACCCTGTCTTGGCAAGGTTTGACCGTCTTATTTCTTGTATCCTGCTTGTTCATTATGCATTTTGTCAGTGGTCGATGCATGGGCAGTTCCTTGCCCAAAGGCCAGTTTTACCAAGAGGAAAATAAGCTCCAAGTAGCGTATCTTTGGTGCTCAACATTCTCTTTGGAATAGATCGGTGCTGCCAGGAGCAATTGTGTCTCACATCAACAGAACCCTAAGTTATTTAAATGCCATATTCTATAACTCTTTGAAGTGCTTGAAGATTATCTATCTATGCATAATACAATCTCTATGTATCTCCAGAACCTGACTCATCTAACTATAAATATGACAAACATGGATGACTATTGATCTATAATTCTTAATTCCTATATAACTTAAAGACTAAAACTTCATAGTAAAACATTAAACAATTTAATTAACATCAAACATTTAAACAACTGTGCAACAAATGAGACAATGACTTCAAAATGTAAACAGTGTATAAGTATCTTGATCAGAGGTAGAAAAGTGTATTACAATGTGATAAATATATCCTAAAATTGTATCAATATACAGAACGTCTTAAGCAGAGTTAGAAGCATGTATGTACACAATATGATAAAATAACTTTGTCTAGGTGTACAAATATTGCAAACAGAAATAGGAGCATGTTAAATATAATTTGAATTTGTATAAATATACAAAAATCTATACCAATGTAAATTGCCTATAAATAATAGCTTACAAGTATTCACTCTATTACTCCCTATTATTATTAGTGTGAGAAAGCTCACATTAGTCTATTATCCCATCCAATTTTCCTTTTTTTTTCAAAGAGATCCCTGAGCTTACATAATTTCCCTCCAACCTCCAGTCCTATAACAGTAATAGTCAATGCCTAAATGATGTTTCAAACCCTAAGGACAAATTTTGTTGGGAGAAAGGACGTCGTTTTCTAGAATTACTTCCAGCTGTCATGGGGACAATGTTCTTTCTATGGGATCCTGTGAAAGTAAAATGATGGTTAAACTTCAAGATTACTGTCTGATGTATTTGCAAATAGTCTTTGAATATTAGGTAGGATTTTTCTGAGGTTCCTATTTGGAGTTCTGGACAGAACATTGTAAAAAAGTGTACCATTTCAGCTCACCAAGTTGGAACCATCTTGAGCAGCTGGTACCCAAAATAGTCTTGTAGTAGTGTTACCAGTATCATGACGTCATATCAACCAGGTGGAGTCATTGTTGTGGGGCCTCATCTTCTCCCCAGAAACTTGAAAGATTACTGCAGGAAAATTCATTGTTCATTGTGGAAAACTTAAACATCGTTTATACAGACATATATTCAATGAAAGGTACGATAGAGACAAAAATAGGTACGAAAAAAAGTAATTTTTTTTTCTAAATTATTTCTTCTTTCTGTCCCATATCAGACAGCTCCTGACATGAGACAGAAACTCTGAAGTTTTCTTTTGACAATATGCTTGGATTTAGAGAAGGACAGAGTCATTGTCCAACTCCAAAACCAGCTTTGATTTTTAAGTGAGTCATGACTATTACTGTAATTTTGGTTTATAGATTTTTACCCTCAGCTGACTTGTCCTCATAAGTCATAATTCTCTTTGCTTGGTGATCCTGTCTGGATAATTATCTTTTCCTCTTTATGCATCTAGATGTCCAGGGTCTCTTGAATTTTTGAAGATAAGTATTTTCCTACAAAGACAGGAACAGAAACCTGACCCAACCCTTATGAGGTTTCCTTACTACCTGACTGGTTGTCACCTCTATGAATGAGCTACTATTTCTTTTTCTCAAGAGATTTCTCTTTTTCAAATAGAATCTTTACTAATTTTGATGACGTCCATAGTTTTGCCTCTCCTGTGGAAACAAGAGCAAAACCCCTTCCTCAACGTAGCACATCTCCTGGCTTCCATTGTAAGGTCAACACATCTTTGAAATACACTGGCTGATTTAATTCAGAAGACTTATCTATTATCCAAAAATGTCTCTCTGTGGCTGTTGTTCCTTTCTCACTAGCATTAAAAAATTCAAGGTCAATAAAGCATTATGTAATCTATTTCTGGGGGTATTTTTCATCCCTTTCTGTTTGTTTATCATATCTTTTCTAGTTTGATTTAATCTTTCTATAACTGCCTGACCTGTAGGATTGTGTGGTATATCTGTAGTATGCTTTATATTATAATAAGCAAAAAACAGTTTCATTTTCTTATACACATATGCTGGACCATTATCTGTCTTTATTTGTGCACGTATACCCATGATGGCCATAATTTCTAATAAATATTTGATTACTGAATTAACCTTTTCTGAGCTCAAAGCAGTTGCCCATTGAAAAACTGAATAAGTGTCTGTGCTGTGGTGCACATATTTTAATTTTTTTAGTTTTCCAAATTCTGTAAAGTGGAACA